TCATGGTGCATAAATTATGAAAGATTCATGACCATACATATCATTTTCATGATTTATATCCATACATCTATGTTTGCTGCCTAGCACCAAATCAGCTCAATTTTATAATGTGTATGAAAATGCCCCCCCCCCCCCCTTTCTTTACTTTAGCTTAATCATTTTTCGTTTTATATGCTGAATGCTTTTCAATTCAAAGAATGAATGTATGTTCTAAGAAAGAGTCACATTTACATGACTTGGATGTCACACTACATTTAATCAATTTTCATAATACGTATACATGTAGTAAATGTATATTATGTAGTAGTAATACAAACATGTGTTGTGAAACAAAGTATACATGTAGTACTCAAGGTGATACATATTTTATTATGTGTATGCATGGTTAAATAACACTCGGAAATGAAATTAAAACTTTAACTTAGTTATCTAAAAAATTTGAGTTGTGTTGCAAAAGTTGCCAGGTTAACAACAAAATTCAAAGAAATATAAACTACAGTACAGTATCTGTAATTTTAACATTTTATTGAGGGAACAAACATATTTCATATTCAACAACCATGGTCAACAAAAGTTTTACAACATTACAATGCCCATAATCGATCGCATATGTCTTCAATATCTGTTTCATTTTGGCAATCCAAAACATTGTCAGGTATGATATTAGTGTTTAGGGTTGGGTTGTGTCTAAAGACGCCTGCAGACCATAATACAGAGGCAACATGAGCACAGCTACCTACTGATCATGCACCTTATATGCACTGGCAATACCAGGATTTCCTTCTTAATTCCCTAAACGAAAAACACTATAGTGAATGAAGATGATGTAAACTTTAAAATACTGATAAAATTCAATATTTTGAAGTTGGAAGTCGATAGACACTTCAGAATCTTCCAATGACAGACACAGTGAAAGTGTATTGAACAGTGGAATGTCATGTGAGTAAAGTTGATTATAATATCAAATAGGTCAAAATGGGTTGACACTTGGTGACCTGTTAATTTAGTAGCTTACTCGATCATGGTTTGGAGAATTTTTCAAAACATATTACATATGAACCACCAATTTTCCAACATTGCCATTTAGATATGTATAAGTTTAAGTACATTAAGTATTAAGTATTACATATTACATTAAGTATTCTATGCAAATGAGACGAATGGACAAGTTGCGGCTCGCTGTAAGCAATGTCATTGAAAACTGGTATGCATACAATTTTCAATAGAAATGTGACAAAACTGCTAGACCCCTATCGCAAAAGTCAGTGTCGCTCGGCATTATTTAATACTTTCATGTGATATATCAAACCCTGCTCTTATACATTGTTTAATAACTCTGATACAAAATTTTAAAAAACTTCAGAAATTTATTTTTCTCAAAGCACTGGGACCCAGCTCTCATAGCTTAAGTGCACTGATCCTTTTCAGATAAATGTAGCAAAAATCTACATTCTGAGAGCTAATCTGGAGTTCATATCTAGAACTGTTATAAATTAAAAAAATTTAAATTTTATATGAAAGTTTAATCAGGGAAATTTCTGTAACTTAGAGTGGAATTTTTACTTTTTTTTCAAAGTGAGTAAGGTACCTTTTACCCATAGTTAAATCAGCATTGATAAATCCTTTGGATATCTATTCAGTTTTAACTTATAAAGCTGTTAGATCTGCCATCTAGACTGTGACATCACATGATGTATGTTAGATGCATCACCATTTATTACAAAGTCCATCTTCGCTAGCCAAGGGTTTCTGATCCACTACTCTTCTCACAAAAAGTTGGGATTGTTTACAACACGTGATCTTGAATTTTCTAACATAAGCACAAATTGCTCATCGACAAAAATAAAAGGCATATTTAAAAATTTAAGTTTTTAAAAAATAATTAACAAGAAGATATCGATCAATGTTTATTTGTTATTTATCGTGCAAATCTACATCTACAATAAGATTCCTCGTCACAATATTTGTACATCAGCTTAAGATTGGATGACACCATATCTATTTATAGAGTGGCATGTTATCTTACGAATCATTGTTTACTTGTGTTTTTCATTGCCGAGGCTAAAGAATCAAGATATATCCCGAGGCAAGTATCATCATTTACAAAGGCAATTGCTGATTGGTCGAACAATGTCGATCAACTCCAATCACAACTCGAGAAAAAAAACCCCAACTTTCAATAGCACCGTATGCCAAGGGTTTGTGAGGAGAGTAGCGGATCAGAACCCTTGGCTAGCGAAGATGTACAAAGTCTGGAAAGTGCAAATTTTAACAAAGAACATTTAATCTTCTATATTTATCAACAATATCCATTAAATCAAGTGGTGAACTTTTGTTGTTACTGTGAGAATGTAGTTAGCAGCGAGATGCACTTGCATTGCAATGTGGGTCCAAAATTCATTCTGATCAATGTGCACAGTCCAAATGTTCTCTTTACCTAGGCGTTGCTTTAAGAGCTTATGACAGCTAGCCAAGATAAATTTTCTGTTAGGAAGGTTAACTCCTATCTATAACCCGTTTCTTTGTTTTAGTATAGCATAATAGCATATCATAGAACATGAAAAAATGGGATGCATTTAAATTAAATATATTCTCTATATATAATATCATTTATCTATATAGAGGAAATGAAAAACAGTAATATTTATATTTAAACATTTATTGTTTGGCGTTGTTGGTCGTGGCATAATATACATGTATAAGCAGCAAAGGGTCGCCAAGCAGGGCAGACCCAAAATTCAAGCAACAACATAATACAAAGCAAATCAATTATTTGGCTGTTCCAGGTTTACCGCAAACAGTCATTTACCTTTAAGCTTATTAATGTTTTTTAATTATAAAAAAGTTTTGAATAAATTCAAATATAGCAACAACAAGCATAAAATAAGCAGCACAATCAAGTACCGAACCCGATTTTGTACGCCGAACTCGAGCAAAAAATTTCCCCATAAGATAAAGGCATCTATATTATATTCATATAGATGCTGTTATATTAAGCAATTATGTTGCCATTAGGCAAAAAAAAATAATAGTCTTGTTTCCTGCTACCCGACCTACCCTATTTTTTTGCACCCGACCCTAAAGTTTTTTTCAAGTTTTGGGAGGAAAAAAAATCGGGAATTTCTGGAATTTCATTGTTCTGTCACTGTAATCGGTTTCCGTGTTAACACAAAACAAGCATTTCATGAAATTCTTGTTTTAAATATGGACTTTCATAAAATACCACTTGAGTTGTGCATAAAAGACATGAAATTCAATTTTAAAAGACAATGTTGACCTGTGACATGTTTAATTTTATCTTGTATTAGTTCATATCCAAAAAATGCCATCAGAATAAAATAAAATGAAAAAATAAAATAAAATAATTTTCCTACCTACCTACCCTATTTTTTTCAGGCTGGTAGCAGGAAACAAGACTATTATTTTTTTTGGCCTTATTTAAGGTAATGAAACTACATAGAACATACATAATGTGAAAATATGTGATGTATACAGAACCAAACTATAAACAACAGGGAGGAAATAAAACACCAAATCATCACTTCAATATACTTAAAAAATGAGTGACAAAAATTGCTTCCTCTGTTCAAACTGCAATTTTGCTTAAAAATATCTTATTATATGCAATTTTTAATCGATGATGCAACTTGAAGCAGCCAGAAATACCTTTGCAAATAATTTTTTTTCTGTTTGACGAATTCATAACACCTGCGTTTAGCATGTTTAGAATGGTTTTTTCACTTTTTTGTTAACATTTCAAGTTGTAATTGATTGAATCTGAGTAAGAATAACTTTCTATGAACCTTCAAAAATTATATTTACCTTGTTCGGACAATGTCATACAGCAGGAAAGCGTTACAAGTAGAATTCACGACCCGCTGTATTGCTTTTCTACTCATGAGTAAAAAATATCAACAGGTCACAACTTCCGCTAATTTAGAGTTATCGTTCTTTGCCTCCCCCTAGCATTCAGTAGAAATGCTATCTGTCGTTTGTTATTTTCAAGTAAGCTACATCGGATGCAAGCTTTTATTGACGTCATTTATTCGGCTTCTTTCAAACACACAACTGATGTTTTGAGAATTCTACGGTGAACCGTACGCACATGATTTGAACGCATGTGACATTTTGGTAATGTTACCTGTGGTCAAGTGTGTTGCTAACACTGAGGGTAACATTATGGAATGTTAAATGCGTTTAAACCAATCAAATTTTAGTATTTAACATGAAAGTATAATAAACAAACATAATTCAGCAATGAACAAAAGAGATAAAAGCGTTTAAAGAGTTTTAAATGTATTTCCAATGCACATAAAAAATAATTACTCCGAATTTGTCACACTATTAGAATTTATGTCCAATGCACACAGAATTAATCACTTGGCATTTTTCACATCATTAGAATCATGTTAAAAATGTACTTCCAATGCTCACAATAATTACAATTCCTCCGAATTTTGCGCACTATTAGACTCCTGTTGTCAATAAAATATCCAATACTTATCCGATGGTATTTTAACAGAATGTTTCCGGTCTTAAATTTTGAAAGCATCGCTTCTTGACACGCTTCTTGAATCTTGCTTCTTGAATCTTAATCCACATCACTTCCTTCGGCCGGCCCTCGGAGGGAATGTTTTCTCTAAACTATTCAGATGACACCATCTCAGTATTTATCCACTAATTAAACAACAACGTTTTTATTACTGTAAAGAGGAGAATTCCTTGTTTAGTATAACAAATATGCTATAAGAGAAGTGTGTTCAACCTGATTATCTCCAGTATCTGCAGGAAATGGCAGAAGCACTGTATTTAATTGATACATCGTAATGCTACCCATGGAAACAAGCCAATCTTGGGGTTAAGTTAATCAGCTGACAACTTTCTGTGTTATTTTATTTTTATATGAACATAGACACTTGTCTAATTTGTTTATGTACACTATGCACATTATGCAGTTACTATTCTATTTTAATTTACAGACTGAATTTATTGAATTTCAGATAACCATGGCAGGGCTGGTAAAGATGTACAATGACCTCATGGAAAAGGCTGGTAGGTTTTCATAGTTTTATTCATTATCAGCCAACTTAATAATTTACATAACAAAGGTTACAGTAAGTGCAAAGACAAAAAATAATAGAGATTTGCACTTCTTTGAAATCTCATGATATCTTGTGGCCCTGTAGTTTACTTTTTAGCTTAACTGAGCTGAAGGCTCAAGTGAGCTTTCTTGATTGAAATATATACCTGTGTTTGTCATCATTGTTTTTGTCATGGGTTTTATCAACATAGTCAAATTTGGGTGGGATCATTTAATTCATCTCAATAACAACTAGGTAACTTAAGATATTTTTATCACATGTTTACCCCTTTATCCCATGGATATCACTCATTGGATATTTTTTTTTCATATCCCACTTCTGTGATGTCACAGTGTGGTTTGCTGTTGAGTGGTTGACATATTATTTGTGTACAAAAGGGTGTTCAGTGTGGAACACTCCAGAATGTTTTGGGGCATACTCTTAAATGTATTGTTAACTCAGTGTTCAATAAAACTCCAAGATACTGAATGCTTAAATTCTTAAGACTTTTAGTAGTTTTTCATTATAGACTGTTTAATGGCTGTATAATAATAAAAAAAAAGACTGACAAAGAAAATCTGAAATCAGAAGAAATATGTTAGTAAATGATAAACTCTATCAGGTGAACTACAAATGTCTGATATTTAAGTTAATGAGGGATTCTATTGACAAATTCCCTGTATTCTCATTTCTGTAGCTGTGTGTATTTTGTTGAACAGTTCTTGTCGGAGAGATTGTTGGTATGAGTATAGAGCAGCCTGGAGGTTCCCTGTCAACTGTTGACAGATCCCCAGAATCTGCCAGGATATGTCTCTGAGTATTAAAGGTATAAACTGTCCCTGATCATAGTGAACTAGGGTCTGTAGATCATCTAGAGCTGTTTGTACTCTCATTATGTCTACATGTCTGTAGCACAAGATCTCTAGCATGTATAGCAGTATCAAAGATGGGATAAATAATGCAGGGAAACTGTTCTGTAGTGCAAACTGTTGTTCTGGTATCAGTTCACTGATGTAATGGATTCTATTATCAAGTATAATATCCCATGCTACAGCCTGAGTCATCTTTGTAGACCAGGACTGTCCCCGTACAGCCTCAGTATACCTCTCTGTATCTACATTGAACCTATAATACATCACATATGGCTGTGCTAACTTGACCTTGATCATCTCTATAATAGATAAAGCATCCATGTATCTAAGTATCTTGTAAAAATACATAGCTATGTACATCATGTCAGTAATATAACCAAACTTGGCTGCTAATTTCAGCATGTGACAGGAGATTTTGTCAGCTCTATACCTTAGTTTGTTTTTATGTGTGTAAGTTTCCATGTGTAATATAAAAGCAGTTTTCTGAAGGACATAAGTTGTAAGTTTCTGTAGCATAAGGACTTGATGCTGTGTCAGGAGGGTTGAACCTATCATCTGTTCTGTTATATGTGGACACCTCATACTGCTTTGTTTGTTCAAATTGTATAATGTGTCATTGTGTTGTATTTCCATATATAGATTTACATCAAACTCAATCTCAGAAATCAGAGTATGTTCATCTGTACAGATGGAGAGTCTGGGGTTATTAAGGACATTTATAATATAAGACCTAATGGAAGGACTGTGAAGCAGGAATGCTAAACCCTTCTCATACATCCCATACAGTCTCATAAATAATTGATGTTGTTTGTCGCCATGAATTTTACTCAGAAACATGTTGTTATCTGGAATGAAAAAGTTGGGACAGACCCCCTCATACACCCATCTGAGAATGAGTTTAAAACAGACCCAGAAACCCCCCAGGAGATTTTGTGGACACCAGTGAGGTATTGTATTTTGTTGAATCACCCAGAAAACTGCAGTCTTCATGTGATAGGAACACAGTAATTTATCATCATCATCTAGTCCATTGTTAATTATTTCTGTTAAGAACAATTTAAGTAAAGCATAAGTTAAGAATTGACAGTGGTTCATTATACACACTAGTTTTTTTTCTGCTTCGGAGAAAGAAATTCTCCATTCATGGTCTTCATGACTTCCTAGCTTATGTCCAATTGCTACAAAGTGACATCCATCTTTTACTATATCATTAACAACATGAGGCTGGGGCCATGAGTGACATCTGTCTATCCATGAGGAGGCAGATGGAGGCCAAAAGTCACAAACAAAACAGTAAGTGTAATCAAAATCTTGCGTTCCAATTGTTCCACTAGCACAGGGTCCATGTGGAGTGAACTCTGAACATGTGATCTCTCTGTATATAGAACTAGATATATAATATCTGTTATTCATTCTAACACAAGCTCTCTGGAATTTTCTGTCCATGCTAGGTGACAGTAAATATAACAAAGTAAATCCTGGTGGACTATCAGAACAGTCACAGAGGATCAGTGTTTGTCTGTGTGTGTTGTAATACTGAGACTGAGATAATTCCCAGATCACACGATGATTAATTGGCCACAACATAGTGTCTATGTCTGATCCTTCCAATCTGAATCAATCTCTTTGACTTCCACTCGAAATTACATTGATCCCTTCCCTTGTTTTCACTTGATTTTCCACCATCTCACTGATGTCGGCCAAATCTCTCCTCATGGCCACCAGTTGTGAGGTCCCAACTTTATGACACAGTCCCACAAACACTGTCTCTGATATGTGTTGTATGGCTATCTTACTGAGGATGATTTATCATAAATTTAATATACAATGTATAGTATATTAATTAAGTAAACAATTAATTGATAGTAATGAGCATGGCCACGATTAAAGGTAAATTCTTATATCTTATATGATATTTGCCACTTTGTTAAATCAAAAGCTAAAAAAATCAATTTCCCTAGTGTTACTCAAATTTATGTTGTGATTATTATTTCTTTCGATTTAAAGAATGTTTACAGTAGTAGAGTTGAAAGGATATAAAGAACATATGATCTCTCTGTATTTAGAACTAGATACATAAAATCTGTTATTCATTCTAACACAAGCTCTCTGAATGTCTCTGTCCATGCTTGGTGACAGTAAATATAACAAAGTAAATCCTGGTGGACTATCAGAACAGTCACAGAGGATCAGTGTTTGTCTGTGTGTGTTGTAATACTGAGACTGAGATAATTCCCAGATCACACGGTGATTATTAGGCCAGAACATAACGTCTACATCAGATCCTTCAAGCCTAAATCCTTCTCTGGTACTTCCACTCCACATCTCACTGACCTCATCACTTGTTTTCATTTGATTATTCACCATATCCTTGATGTCCACCACATCTCTCCTCATGGCCACCAGTTGTGAGGTCCCCACTTTATGACACAGACCCACAAATACTGACTCTGATATGTGCTGTATGGCTGTCTTACTGGCAATGATTAAAGTGGTATTTATATTTTTGTATAAGAAATGTGTCACTTCTGTAAATCAATAGTATAATTATCATCATTGATAAGTTTATATATTTATGTTTTATTCAAAATTTTCTACACAGTGTACATTTTCTATTTTAATAAAAAGATTTTTTTTACATACATGAATCATAAAATAAATAATTTTCCTTACTAAATCATTAATTTGTCAAAAAATGAAATAAAAGTGTGTTATTTATAGATTAATTGTTTTATACCAAATGTTTTAATACAATGGTATAAAAAGTTAAAACTAATTTTTACTGTCAACAAAATGCACTGATTCAGATGGTTTTGGCATAATTAGAGTTATACATTCCTGTCATTAAAACTTACATTTCTGAGCTTCTGATGAAGTCCATTTTTGTCACAGGTAAGATCTGAAAAGTTTCAGGTGCTATAAATAGCATAGAAAAATCCCATTACATCTACTTTGAATTCATTTTATACTTGGTATTATCGGTGCCTTTAAGATAACTATTATAAAATAATTTTTATTCAAGGAATAAAAAGCATTTAATCAGTAAATAAGAATATCTAATATGATTGAAAAATGAACATTTTTGTTTGTGTTCTTACCACTACAACTAGTTATGTCCTTATTGAGTCAATAAAACTTACCAAGTTTTGACAAATTATATATTGCACAATAATTTATGCGCATTTATTTGCATGATTTGTTCAATGATAAATATTATTCAAACTATTTTACGTAAAATCAGATTATATTTATTGCCATAAATATGATTAAGATTAAGGTGATTAACCAAAGAGTTACAATTCAAGTGTCAAAAGGTCAACTTAATTGTACCATAGCTCAGTAAGATGCACACTGACCCCCCCCCCCCCTTCCTTTTTCTATGCAATTCTAAGTCATGTTATATGAGTTCTTATCTAAAAATCCTTGATATAACCAATTTCATGAGTGACATACCTTAAGACTTACCAAGTTTTGACAAAGCTATATATAGAATGCTTTTTTTGAATTTGAACAGAAAGGAGTGTAATGGTATATTTGGTGTTCAGATTGTTTCAATTAAATTATCTTTGAACCATAATGTAAAAGGAGAAGATAACGAACTGTTGATCCAGTAAACAAAAAAAAAAAAACAAAAAAAACAAAAAAAACAAAACAAAAAAAAACAAAAAAAAACAAAAAAACAAAAAAAAAAAACAAATCCTGAACAGGGCAGAAAAAATATGTTTTGGAAAAATGTTTTAGAGGCCTGGCTATATTTTTCTAAAAAAATAAATTACCAGAACCAGAGGCAAGTGCATCTATGGAACCACTGTTTTTTAATAAAAATATCCTGATTGGTAAGAAAAGAATTTTTTTATATAAGAAATGGCTTGCAAATAATATAGTTTTTGTAAATGATCTATTGAAGAAGATGATTTCTTTATTGATGTAAATATGTTTAATTTGAAATATGGAAACAATGCAAACTTTCTTCAGTACAATGGACTTATAGCTGCTTTTTGAGAATGGATGAAAAGTAAAAATATTATTTCTATGCCAATTGCTTATATGCCATATCTTACACAAAAACTAGCTTCTCTATTAAATTGAATATCTCATTGCTCTTCAAATTAAATATTTTATCTATAGAATGTAGTGGTAAAAATTCTCCTTGAATGGACTGATATCTTCCATCAAAGATATGTATGAAACAAACAAGTATATTGCCTATAAGAACGAATATCGGGTAACTTTTGACGAAGCCTGGGAGCCCTGGAAGAATCTATTTATGTAAATTTTTCCACTCTCTCTTAACTCTCTCTTCTTCTGTCCCCTCTTTTCTCTCTCTCTCTTTCTCTCCCTCTCTCTCTCTTAAAAAATAATTACAGAAAATATAAATATGTATTGTAAAGTTATGTATTAGAATCTGTGAATAAAAAAAATTTCTCTCTTCAATTTTAGGTCGACCCATCTTATGAATAATTCAACAATTCACTCAAAATAAAACATGTGATCCGTATTTATTGATGATAATGTTCATGAAAACAATGTCATAGTTTATCTACAGTGTGGCACTATTTCAATGAAAATACAGATAGAGGTCATTTTATTTTTTTTTTCTCTTGATAAACTGAAGCAGTGCAGAAAAATTTGAACAAATCTACATGTATTTAAGAAAAAAAAATATATAATCAGATTTGAGAGCATTTGCAAATCTATTTTTTATTTTTATTCATAATAAAATGTGCCAGAATTTACATTAGAAATGTTACAATTAATTGAAATATGTTTGAGGCTCAATTTAAATGATTAAAGATGACATTTTATGAGGGTTTTGCAGGTGTGGGGGCATCCTCTGTCTTTACTTCGTATTGAGTTTTTGTTTTAAAAACCAATTTCTTCAAGCTCTCTATTCTTTTGTGAGACACAAACCTTCCCTTATATTTCATTGCGAAAAGGTTTTGACAGTTTGTAGATTGTGACACAATTTTCTTTTTTAAAAATGCATACTGCTGAAGTTATTTTTTGCTTGTTTGTTGTTTGATACTGTAAACGCAGTAAGCTTTCTACATCAAATCATATTGTGACGTCAGCAAACGCGTGATCTACCTTAAAATGACTCCACAGTATTTATTTTCAATTGAACGTTACACATGATGTAAATAACTTATTGACAATGGCTGCCATTATCATGATTATTCTGTGTTATGTCTACCATTGATTCGTTCTTTTTCAGATCCACGAGTGGACGGATGGTTTATGATGTCAACTCCCTGGCCCAGCCTCATCATCTGTGTCGCCTACTTTGTGTTTGTTAAGTTGGGCCCCACCATTATGGCCAACAGAGAGCCGTTTGAGTTGAAGAAGATTCTGATTGTCTACAATTTCTGCATGGTTCTGTTATCAACCTACTGCTTTGTGGAGGTGATTTTATAAAATCAGTTCTGGCTATTACTGTACATTAAATTCTTGATAAAACTATTTTACCATTTTCAAGGTCATTTACCTTCCATTTACCATTTTCATTTGAAGTTTTACAATTTGAGAGGAAAGAAAAAATATGATCTATTGAATCTCTTACATTTAAATAAGAAAGACATTTTAAATATTGCATTTAGTCAGAAACAAAACAAGAATCCTTCTTTAAGATCAAATTTTGGCCAAAAAAATAGATAAGGTTCTGGCTTTTGTCTCGGAGATGCTTACAAATTTTGATGAGAACTTGAACTTTTTTTTCAGTTTCTGCTGGCTGGCTGGCTCAATGGGTACAGTCTGAGATGTCAACCTGTTGATTACTCAGAGAATGGATTAAGGGTCTGTATCATATGAAGGCTTTAATGCTGCCATTTTATTTATCTTGTCTAATGGTTTGGGCCATGGATATCGGTCTGGATATCTTAGTTGGTAGAGCACATAACTTGTAATGCAGTGGTCCAAGGTTTAATTCAATCAAATGTATTTTTTAGGTGACCTGAGTTTACTCTGGTGACCTATTGCTATCAGTTTTCATCCGTCATCGTGCATCATATGTTAACACTTAAACTTTTCAGCTTCTTCTCTGAAACCACAGAACCAATTTCAACCAATTTTGGCATATAGTATCTATGGGTGTAGAAGAGTAAAAATTGTGAATTTCATGCCCCCCCCCCCCCCCCCCCCCCCGAGCCTGAGGGGTGGGGCTAAAATCATCCAAATACATGCAATCTTTAAAAATCTTCTTCTTTACTCCTGGACATCAAGCAGCCAAACTGTTGGCATGATTGGAATCAGCATTGAGCCCTCTACCAAAATTGTGAAATTCATGGCCTGGTCAGCGTTTCTAGTTCTAGGGTGGGGCTCTAATGATTATATAGTGAAAATGCATTATTTCTTATATTTTTAGCTCACCTCGACAAAGTCGAGATGAGATTATGCTATACCCCCGGCGTCAGCGTTAGCGTCAGCGTCCCGGTTAAAGTTTTAGGAGCAAGTCTCATTACCAAGTAACTATAAGCCCTATCTGGACCAAACTTGCATGGATGATGCATCTAGGGATGAACACTACCACACTTGCTTCGGATGCTGGATCTGACCTAGATTTTCCAGATGAGTGACCAGGTTAAAGTTTTTGGAGCAGGTCCATTCCCAAATAACTATAAGTCCTACCTGGACCAAATTTGCATGGATGATGCATCTAGGGATGGACACTACCACACTTGCTTCGGATGCTGGATCTGACCTAGATTTTCCAGATGAGTGACCAGGTTAAAGTTTTTGGAGCAGGTCCATTCCCAAGTAACTATTAGCCCTACCTGGACTAAACTTGCATGGATGATGCATCTAGGGATGAACACTACCAAACTTGCTTCAGATGCTGGATCTGACCTAGATTTTCCAGATGATGACCAGGTTAAAGTTTTTGGAGCAGGTCTATTCCCAAGTAACTGTAAGCCCTACCTGGACCAAACTTGCATGGATGATGCATCTAGGGATGGACACTACCACACCTGCTTCGGATGCTGGATCTGACCTAGATTTTCCAGATGAGTTTGTTTGTTTGTATGTGTTTAACGTCCCTCTCGAGAATTTTTCACTCATATGGAGACGCCACTGCTTGCCGGTGGAGAGCTGCAAATTTTGTCCTATACTCGGCACTTACGGCCATTGAGCAGTGAGGGATCTTTTCGTGCCAGGACCTACTGCGACACGGGACCTCTGTTTATACGGTCTCATCCGAAGGACCGGTATCCACGTCCCACAGTGGGATTCAAACCCGCGACGTAAGGATCAATTCCTTACGCCGCGACTCCAGAGCAGACGCTCTAACCACTGCGCCACGCGGGCGACTTTTCCAGATGAGTGACTAGGTTAAAGTTTTTGAAGCAGGTCCATTCCCAAGTAAGTATAAGCCCTACCTGGACTAAACTTGCATGGATGATGCATCTAGGTATGGACACTACCACACTTGCTTCAAATGCTGGATCTGACCTAGATTTTCCAGATGAGTGACTAGGTTAAAGTTTTTGAAGCAGGTCCATTCCCAAGTAATGATAAGCCCTACCTGGACCAAACTTGCTTGGACGATGCATCTAGGGATGAACATTACCACACTTTCTTCAGATGCTGGATCTGACCTAGATTTTCTGGAGGAGTGACTAGGTTAAAGTTTTTGGAGCAGGTCCATTCCCAAGTAACTATAAGCCCTACCTGGACCAAATGTGCATGGATGATGCATCTAGGGATGTACACTAACCAACCTGCTTCGGATGATGGATCTGACCTAGATTTTCCACATGAGCGAATTTTAGCCATATTTTAACCAAATTAGCATGGATGATGTATCTAGGGATGGACACTTCCAGACTTTCTTTGGATTCTGAATCTGACTTACATTTTCCAAAACATTGTTTTTTGAGCAGGTCTATTTCCAAGTAACTATAAGTCCTGCTCAAACCAAACTTGCATGGATATTGATCTTGGGATGTACCCTAACTAGAAAAAAAAATATGATGTGAAATTTGCCTTACTTATAGATAACATTCGTCGAGGTGAGCTTCGTAATCTTTGATTACCTATGTTTTTCCTCTGAGCCTGGGTATTAAACCAAAGATCTATGTACATAGTTATGATTAGGAAGGATGCCTCTCCCAAAATTTTGAATTTCATGGCCCCTGGGTCAGGGGTTCTGGTGTTAGTGCAGGGCTCTAATGATTATATGCTGAAAATGAATCAATGCTTTGAAATCTTCTCCCTGGTATTAATGAAACATTCATTATGAGCAAGGGTGCCTTTTCTTAAATTGTGAAATGTGTGGCCCCAGGGTCAGGGGTTCATGTGGGGTGGGGGCACTACTTATTATTGCTGATTATAACTGATGAGTGAAATGCATTTTTCCTCTACTCTGTCTATGGGTATTAGGTAACCAAACTAAGCATGCTAAGTTAGTTATGATGAGCAAATGCGTCTCTTTCAAAATTGTGAATTTCATGGCCTCTGGTTTAAAACACAAACCAAATTCAATTGTTAGAAATTTGTTACATTATGCTCAGGTGATCTTTAAGGACCATGGGCCTCTTGTTCTCATAGAAAGTTTATTCTGTTTTTTTTTTTTTAGCAAAATCAAGGTATGAAATGCTTAACAAATACCTAATATCACATACTGTTGATAGGTCTTAAGAGAAAATGACAGAATTTAAAGATTTCGACCCGAATAATCAATTTCAGGCCTCCGTCATTTGTTTCTTTTTTCTGATATTGGGTGTCAAAAACCGATTAAGGCGCAAACAGATGCAAAACATAGTAAAAACTTGAAATGGATTGTACCAAGACAACTTATTAATGTCTTTCATTTATGGTTAATGTTTTTCATTCTCATTCTCATTTTGCTGTCGACAAAAAATTAACTCAAATAGAAAATAATTTTCTGGCCCAGGTCCATCATGTCATTAATTTTTTCACGTCCTGCCCTTGGCCTCATAACTTATTAACTTTTGACTGACAATAACGAATACCAGAACTTAAACTTGTGTAGTAATTGAGCTTTTGTTTATTTTCAGATGCTGAAAGTCTGTTGGATGTTTTATTTTTCTAAATTTATTGAACTTTTTGACACAGTAAGTTCTCTTCAAACTTCAACTTGTAATTCTAGTAGATTTCTTATCATACAAGTTCGGTATTTCAAAAATAAAATGAAAATCAACAATCTAATATCTGAATATAAAACTGAAGTGATATTTTTCAGGTTTTCTTTGTGATGAGGAAAAAGTTTAACCAGGCTTCATTTTTACATGTTTTTCACCATGGTATTATGCCCTTCTCCTGGTGGTTTGGAGTCAAATTTGTAGGAGGTAATTTGGTAAATTTATTATTCTCTCTGACTGTTGTGCATAAAAATCATAATTTTGAACTTAGTTAGGCATAAATTTTTAAAATAGACTCCTAAATTCATAGATTTGAAATGTTTTGTGTATATGCACTATAGGGGAATTCTAGAAAGGCATTGATTTGTCGACTTTTTCAAGAAGTCATCAATTTCCCAATCAATGGGGAAATATTGCAAGAAATCACATACAGTCAAACTTGGATGTCACAAACAACAAAAAAGACCTCGAACATATGTAAATGTTTAAAATATCATAGTTAAAATTTGCAGACTCTAAGAAAGGCTTTTGACGTATGAACTAGTCCTTGACCTCATGTATTTGTCCTTGAAATAATTTATTATTATCTTTGATTTTATGTAGCTTTCCTTCACCCTGTGAATGTGAATTTTGATTTTTAGGTGGATTTGGAACCTTTCACTCTATGCTGAATTCCTTTATACATCTGGTGATGTACACCTACTATGGTATGGCAGCCCTGGGTCCTCAGTACCAGAAATATCTCTGGTGGAAAAAATACATGACTTCTATGCAGATAGTAAGTGGGTCACAATCAACTAAAAAATAAATAACATCTATGCAGATAGAGAGTGGGTCAAATTCAACTAAAAATACATGACATCCATGCAGATAGTAAGTGGGTCACAATCATTTTTACATCAAATTAAAAGCTCATAATTAATTTTTCGTAATGTTAAGACTTCCCAGTAGTAACATTTTTATGTTAGATAATGTGACAGTAACATTGTATTAATATTATCATGGTTTGATAAATTGTCAGTTTCTTCTAATCCATAATTTTGTTAATTGATTGTTAATGTTATGAAGTTGACCCTCTTCACACAAATATACATGTTTACACATTTGTAAGGAATTTTTTTTTAACCTACAGACCCAGTTTATCCTAGTAACGATCCACTCTATACAGCTACTGTTTATTGACTGTGACTATCCCACACTGTTTGTTTACTGGATTCTAGCCTATGCTGTTATATTCCTCATCATGTTCGCAGACTTCTACCGAAATGCCTATAAAAAACCAAAGACAAACGGAACTGTTACCAATGGAGTTAAAGCCAAATCTAATTAACACATGCTTTAATTAGAAACATAACAATTATTATTCTTACCATATCCATTTGTTTATTTATAGTATTTTTGTTAGCAATGTTTTATAAGTTATTTTGATATTTCACCCATTTTAAACAATATACCAATGCAGAAATCATTTGTGTTCCAAGAACTTGCGGTGTGAACTCCATAATCTGTATGCAGAATTAGAAATACAAACATTTTTAAGTACACTTTTTGTTCAAGATTTTCAGACCCTTTAATTTGATAATGGCAAATCAGTTTTGTAAAAGTTTCTCTGAAAGTGCAGATACATATATGTATAATTATATGATGCTGTTTTTATAGTTTGTAGAAAACCCATCATGTAGACGTAACTTTACCACATGAATTCAAAATTATTTTACTTTTGCCATACAAATATTTATGTGTGTTATAAGAACAACTTTGTAGGTTCAATACTATTATTGATTGTGATACAAGTATTGGAGCTCAGACACACATTACACCATAGATATACCACCAACTATTAAACTGTAACCAATGTGTGTAGCATAAATATATAGTATTAGGAAATGGACCAATTAGCTACCCCTTTTGTTGATTGGCCATGAGAAGATTGTTAGGGAGAAGTTTTACTGGGATTATCTAAGAACCAATCAGAACTGTTAGATTTTCTGATTTTTGAATGGTTCTCAGTGTACTCTGGATACTACTGTGATTATTTGTTGTTGAATGAGTGTTCAAGATTGTAATCAGGGTATCAGAGAGGCTTTACCATGTCTGTTTTTTTTTATACTTCTAGAATTTTCAGGGATTCATTATAAGTGTTCCTTCTAATGTATTTGTCTGATTCTTGATTAAAGCAACTTATGAATTAGCTTTTAATTATTTTTCTTGAACTTGGAATTGCTCTGGGATAATATGTCTTTGTTTGTAAATGTTTCTTTATGTACAGCCATAATACTAACAACAATTGACAGGTTGTTTTTCCATATTGATTTTATATACAGGTCCTTATTGTGTGGGAAACCATTGTACCAATCCAAAGTTAATTCTGAGGTTGATAAAACTGTTGTTATATGTACTATTTATTAAACTGTAAAACTCTTAAGTAATTTTTGTTTTACAATATAAGAACAGGCATACAATATAATCTCTATATTTTTATCTGAGTTTTGTACAGCTTTGAACAAAGAAAAGTATATTAAAATCGGCATAATACTTTTAAAAAAATATATTTTTTTTCTATTCTGTGTTAATGCTTGTTGAAGTCTTTATCAAAAGTAAAAGGGGACTCTTCCTTGTGGGTAATTGATCATCAATTTTTTAACCTATGAAAAGATTCCGAATTTTAGAGAAGTAGAAGTTCTAGGAGATGATTTTTTTGGTAATCCAGATATATTTTCTTATTGCTGTGCCATTTTTAAACTGTAAGCACACTTCATATGGCAGAATTCATTTGTGTGATGTTCAGCAATTACCATACGTATTAAATGAAAAAAAAATTAAATTTTGATATTGCTGTAGATTTTGTACTAAATTTTGCTATATAAAGGAATATTACAATTTATTTAATAATGTCAATGCTTTTTTTGTTTATACATTAAAAGAATCACATACAATTCAAGGAAAGAATGAATGCACTATAGTATGTCATTTGGAACCTTTTCGGCTATCCATTTTAATCTTTGAATTACAATATATCGCTAAATTATTCTATGATTATTGTGGATGCATATGTTTTTGATATTTATGCCTTGAATTTTTTTCATACATATTTCTATAATTAAAGACAACGTCATGGAAAAGAACATGTGTTTATGCCTTTAATTCCGGAAATTCGAACTGGACCATTTTTTAAATTAAGGTACTCGCAAATAGGCGGAGACATTTAAGGTATCACACCGGTAATTGACCAATCAAAATGAACTTAGTCAATTGTAGTTCCATACATAATAAAGAAATATTTTTTTGTTGTGAGAATTTTTTTTAATTTCCCTTATTCTATTTTTACATTTTTGGTATCTGTGCTTAGGATATTTTATGTACTTTGTAAAATATTAAAGGTTTTTGACAGGAACTATTTCTTTCGGGGCATAGGAGGCCACTTCCTGGGGTGCACACAGGATGTTTATAAACACATTGAATACACGTGGTTTTGAGGGTATTCCTGTTTGCGGATGGAAAAAATCAGAAAATGCCGTGTAGGTACCCTATTTTTTGGTGTCAGCTGATGTGACTGGTAACGTTTAACACTTCCTGCTAAATATTTTTTCATGAATTCGAATACCTGATTTTTAATGATTTTTTATTCTATATAGAATTACATAGTGAAAACAATTACCGGTGTGATACCTTGAAGGTGATTGTGTAAAATCATCTACACCCATATTAAAGGCAGTTTTAATTTTATAAAGGCATATTTCAACAAAATATGTCATTTTATGAACTTTCTGTGTGAAAGCACATATTTTTAAATTTAGAAGCAGGGTTGACATTAATTTATACAGATTTCTATGTAAAATACTAATAATATGTCATGTTTTAACCTCAAAACTCCAAATTATGACTTTCAAAAGGAGGATTATGCATCTGACATGTAGAAAGAAGTTAGAAAATGTTGGTTTTTTATTTTATATGACTTTAAACTCTGTGCACCACATGACCGCAGTCAATTATAGTGTCTACAGACTTTGCCGTAAAAGCACTTTAGGCTGATTTTTTTCAAGAAAAGACTAATTCTGGGTTTGCGAATGAGTTTTCAACAAAAGCGACAACTGCGATAAAATGTGAAGAAGTAAAACATGATTTTAAAAAGTGTTAAATTTTACAGAGACTGGGTTTACTTTCATTTTATTCACCTTAAGTGATTCATTTATTACTGGAGTGGAGGAATAGAAATAATGAAATGAGTTAAATTTGTCTAACAAAAGTAATGCACAAATAAAATTTATTAAGAATTTTTCAAAAATAAGAAGCTTATGACCAAAAATGCATAAATACTGTCAGGGCATGAGAGTGAATACTTATTCTGAGTCCCAACCATGCATCACACATATAGTACAGAATGTCACTTAGCACCATGGTATGCCTGTTATGGTTCTCTAGACTTTTTCCATGCTTTCGCAGCTGACATTCAAGATTTTTCAGTTTGCCGGAGAATGTTTTTTGTCATTTTACCACTTTTATGTAGGTGTTGACCCTCTCTTTTAAATTAAGTCTCAGTCAGGATGTTTATTTTAGCATGATTTGTTAAACACATTAATGTACTGAAATATTAATAAATTACAAATTAAAGTGATGAAGAAATTTGACATATTTACACAATCAAAATATCAGAATAACCATAATTCAGCTAATAAAGTGCCATGTTCTTCTTTTGTCACTTCCTATAAATTTTATCAGCATTTTTTGTACACCCACCCACCTCCAAGAATCATGGAGGATGGCCTGATATTAGTTTCTTTGTTGCATTTATTCACATTTAAAAGTGTTAAGACCCATAAAAATGTTTAAGATTTATATTTTTAAATTTAATTGTTGAATTTTTATGTAAATTTGGTGAAACAAAAAGCTGTAATCTTGAATTAATCATGCAAATTCATCAAACACCTTTGAAATTCCTGAGTAATTCAATGAAAAGAGGATAATTATGTATGTTCAATTGGAATTTCATGGCTAATTTGTGTCTGCAGAGAAAGCCAGTTACATAAATCACAACAATAAATTACATCTGAATTGTTTTCTCCATTTTCTTATCATCAAAGCAAGTTTAATGGAGTGTCAGAGCTGTCTAGAACCTCCCCAGATGCCGATATCATTTGGACTGCCCTGTGTTACAACACAGCTTTTAGATAAACTTCTGCATAGCAGGTTGTAGACAAGTACCTAGGCTTTATTTGGAACATAAATTGACCAGATGCAGATTTTATTATCAGCCTTATATTTAACAATTTCTGTAAATTTTGTCATTCTTAGGAGGGTAAAATGCAATTTTGTTATGTAATAATTGCATAATGGTCTCCGACTTGTGAATTATTTTTTGTTTGTGGTGAAGAACAATGCATATACTCTCCACGGATACAAAATTGGTTGCCAGGCTTAGTCTATTAAGGATGAAATTCTGCTTCAAAATATGCACAAAAAACTTCTGTCAGAGTGCTCAGTGTGTTTTCTTGACAGCTCTGGAGTAAGGGAGATAAATGCATCATATCTCCAGCAATAATGGGAATTAGATCCCCAGACTTCAGGATGTTAGTGACAGTTATTTAAGAAATCTCAGGTGCAAAAATGAAAAAAATCTGACAACTTCAAAGGTCCTTCAAGGTATCACACCGGTAATTGACCAATCAAAATGAACTTAGTCAATTGTAGTTCCATACATAATAAAGAAATATTTTTTTGTTGTGAGAATTTTTTTTAATTTCCCTTATTCTATTTTTTACATTTTTGGTATCTGTGCTTAGGATATTTTATGTACTTTGTAAAATATTAAAGGTTTTTGACAGGAACTATTTCTTTCGGGGCATAGGAGGCCACTTCCTGGGGTGCACACAGGATGTTTATAAACACATTGAATACACGTGGTTTTGAGGGTATTCCTGTTTGCGGATGGAAAAAATCAGAAAATGCCGTGTAGGTACCCTATTTTTTGGTGTCAGCTGATGTGACTGGTAACGTTTAACACTTCCTGCTAAATATTTTTTCATGAATTCGAATACCTGATTTTTAATGATTTTTTATTCTATATAGAATTACATAGTGAAAACAATTACCGGTGTGATACCTTAAATCGCATGGAAGTGGAGTGTAAAGATAAGCACATGATTTTTCCGTATTCAGATTCCACACTATGAATTTAAATGGAGAAGAGGGAGATTGTGTAGTTTCATGGTGCACAAATAATAAATGATTCTAGTGTTTAGGGATGGGTTGTGATATCAACCAGGTTAAAATGGGTTGACTCTTGGGGACCTGTTAATTTAGTAGCTAACTAGACCGTAGTTTGGAGACTTTTTCAAAAAATTAAATATGAGCCGCAAATTGTCCAACACTGTCCTTTGGAATGTATGAGTTTAAGTCACAATACAAATTGTGAGAAGAGAAAACACAGGCCTCTAAAAACATCAGAGAACACCTGTAATGGAGATTGTGAGAATTGATCTTGAGTGGACTGTGGATGAAGCGTTTTTACAGCATATTAGAATAACAGTGAATAATTTTATTTTGTGAGTGCTGCTGCTTGTGAGATTATGCAATAATAAATTTCTTGCATATTTACTGGAATCTAGCTATCTTTTCAGTAATCCTTTAGGGTTTATTGTTTGAAAGTTACGTGTAACTGTCTCAAAGAACAGGACTGTCACTGCAACAAGTAACAGCTCTATAACTGCCAAAAAAGTTACTGTTGTAGCCACAAGTTACAAAATTTCTGTTTATGTCACAAGTTAGATATATCGACGACGTATTATCAATCAACAATAGTTATTTCCATTCATATGTTGACACAATATGAAATTAAAGATACCACAGAGTCTGACACAACTGTTTCATATTTGGATGATTTATTAGAAAAAGAGACATTAATGGTAAAATCTAACAACAAAGCTTTATGATAAACGTAATGACTTTAACTTTTCATCCTTGAAATTCTCCACATGAAAATGAATGGGCCCAAATTTAGTTTCACTTAGAACATACGTGATAGACAATTTTTAAAATCAGAACCAGTAAACGTCTGTGGTGACATATGTTTACGATAATCATCTTTCCTATTTTAAACAAAATTTTTTTCTTGGGTTCTTATCTTACATGACCTTTCTCCCTTAAAATACACATGCTAAAACAATCATTAATTTACCTTTGATATCATCAGTAAGCTTGTTTCGGAGCCAGAAATACACCATCAGGCATTTGCTGTAAGATCTATATTTTCGTGGTTCTGGTTATCAGGTTCCTCAAATCGACTGGATCCGTCTTTGTTTTAACTCATTATTTGTAACAAATGATGATACTCATGCTCTTCTTATTTTAAAAGAGGTTACTCACCATGCTTTAGGATTTTGAAATTGATACGGATAGTACACAAAGTAAATTTTATCTACGTGTACAAGTGTGAATGTATTGTACATAGTAATGGCTAGGGGCAAGGGTCACAAGAAGGGAGAAATTTATTTAGTAAATATCTCCTTTGAAAACCTGAAAACCCAATTTAGTTCACTACAGTAAGTTGTGTTGAGTTTATGGTCCTTGCCCCCCCCCCCCCCCCCCAAACACACACAGACACACACACATCCCAGGGTTGTTGTCGGTGATCCAGAATAAAGATCTTGGTGGAGATCCATTACCTACATAAACTTGTGTTGAATTTTGACTAAATTTGCAAGGACCCAAGTTTAAGGATAAAGAAAACGTAATTATTGTAATGATGATTAAAACTTTTAATGTGTTAATAAAAAACTGCAAACAAGTTTAGAAGATAAGAGGGAAGTATAATCTGAAGCATGGGTGTTTAATTTTAATTGAATAGCCATGTTAACCTTCTTGAGTAGCCTTACATTTTACCTGAACAGATAAAACAACTAGATGATATTACTAGTATTATGGATCAGCATAATCCGAAATACCAGGAAGAATGAATAACATAATCTAGAATTTAACAATTTACTTACAATAAACTATAAATATACAACGGAAAATTACAACTCGCAGCAATAATTAAGGTTTCACTGCAGAGTTTAACAATCTGTGATTAGTGCATGATTATTGTTAACATTCCATTTTAAATGATGTGCAGTCCACATTAATAGAT